CATATTTTTAACTGCTCACACAACGGGTATTTTAATTATAACTAACAAAGCGGAATAAAAAAATGCTTGAAAATGTACAATTCTGCATTTATTTTCGAACATTTAGATATAAACCATGAAAGATGATGTTAAAGCGGAACCATAGAGTGGCAGAGTGACCGTTTCCCATCGGACGACGTTCAGTGCAACTTCCGTTTGGCGGTTCCGACCGTTTCATCGGTAGATTTAATTTATTTAATTGCTCCCCACCCCCCCGGGATGCCTTCTGAAAGTCTACGATGGGAAACTTTACAGGCTTTGAGGAATTCGACAAAAGGAAAAGTCACATTCGACCCGCACTGGTCGGAAAGAGGCGAGGTAAGCTAGTTAGGCTAAGCTAAGTTAGCTTAGCTGACCCGGTGGCTAGTTGTTGTTAGCTCTGGTACTTTCTTTACTTGCTTACCATATTGGGGTTTTTCTTTTTACTCATCTATCTACATGTATGTAAGCAGTTAAATTATTGTTTACTTAAAACAATTAAGCCAAATAAAACACACTGAAAACAACAGTTTTAGTTTAAATTTTGCAAGGTGGCACTAAGCTTTTTTAAGCAGGCTGTCACTGCATAATAATAATAATAATAATAATAATAATAATAATAATAATAATAATAATAATGATAATAATAATAATGCCAACACTTGAGAAAACAATGGTTAGGACTAGCCTAAATTTGCTAGGTTACGTACATACAAAGCCTAATATTTGGACAGACTTAATGCTATCTGTACTCATATCTGACTTTCTTTACCAAAACATTGTTTTCATCACTATGAATGGTGTCCGCTTGTGTTCTTTTAGCATATTTTGGCAGGTTGCAAAGAAAACCTGAGCTTGTCGCCGCACACTGGAGTTATTTTGGAGCGTATCGACTCAGTATCCCTGCAGAAGTCCTCCTTCCTGGACTCTAATGTCGACTTGGAAGAGACTGCAGCCTCGGCTTCCTCCACAGGATCCTCCACTGACCTGAACAACAAACACAACACAACGTCTTCAGTTTTATCATTAAGGAGCGATAACAAGCAGGTAACTGTCATCCTGAATGTTAACTGTTATCAGCTTCAGTGAGCGCTCTGAATCCTTCTCCACGTCTCACGTTTCTGTCACCCTAATGTGCTGCAGGCTGTTGGTGAGGAGGTGAAGGATGAAAGTCCAGATGTCAGGGAAGTTTCCAGTCCTGTGTCACCTCCCGCCATTTCCCTGCTTTCACCTAAAGCCATGGAAACCGTCGGACGTATCATCCGATTCGAACAGGAGCAGCGAGAAAAGGCCAAGGTCGGACACAGAGCTTACTCATTTGTTCTAATAAATTTACAGATATGTGTTTAAGGAGTCATTTTTAAATCTCAAGTTGGAGAAAATAATTTAATTTAGCCGTATTGTTAAAAAAAACACTTTTTTATTTTGAGCTCAGTTTGCTGGATTATCAGAAAAAAACGCCATGCATTTTAAGAAGACTTTTTGGTTTAGTCAACTAAAACTTTCTTGACTCATAGAATCCTGTTTTTTGTTTTCTGAGTCTCACCTGCCTGATTTGATTTAACCTTTGGGCTCAGGTGGCGCTCAGACAGCGGGAGGAGATGAATGAGAAGCTGGTGGCGGTGGTGGCGAACGCCGAGTCGGAGCAGCTGAAACGCTTCGAGGAGCTGATGGAGCTGAAGCAGAGGCAGGAGTTCCAGATTATGAGGGACATGATGGACAGAGAGTGAGTGCAGAAACATGCAGGCAGGTAGTTTTTTTTTATGTTTCTGAGAAGTGATCCAAACTGGTTTGAATATTTTTGCTCTGCAGAACCAAAGAGAGCATGGGGCGTCAAGAGAAGCTGAAGGAGGAGCAGCGACACAGAATAAGGGTACGATGAGTCAACGTGTAGCAAAGACACTGGTGCTCTTGGGCAGAAATGTGACTACAATGAGAAAAATCAGTATAAGCTAAATAAACAAAACAGAAATTAAAGCTTAAACCTAGAATTAGATGTTGGAAACAAACTTAAAACACTTAAAAAACAAAAGCAAAAATGGGACTAATTTTGTCACAGCAGCAGGGTTCCTGCAGATCCTTAAAGTGCCTGTGACATCAAATTTTTGTTATAAATGTGAATGCATTTTTGGAAAGAGAACATTGATAACAATGCAAAACAAATTTCACGCCGTTGAGATAAAGAGTTGAGATATTTGCATGTAAAGAAACAGGAAGTGATGTCAAAGGGGAATGTCTGCATGTAAACAGAGTGATGCTACAATAGTTAGAGAAGAATCTGATGTTTCCTTAGATTATTTTGAGTCATGATCAGAGTTGGAGAAGAGTTTAAATAAGATTGTTTCAATAAACAAAGATCAGAGAGTTTATTTTCTTAGAGTTCCCCTTTGATGTCACTCCCTGTTTCTCTTTGTTGAGACAAATTCAAGAGAAAATATGCCAGATATGAGACAAAATGGGTAAAATTATGTTTACTATGCTGATTTTCTTAAATATAAATGTTTTCTTTGACTTTTTGTATTTGAAGGATAAAGCAGGTCACAGTCCCTTTTAAAAAGTCTTAAAAGTCATTGACTTCATTAAAGCAAAAATAAGGCCTTAATTAGCCTTAAAATGTCTTAAATCAGTCTTTCAGAAGTCTTAAACACATTGTAAATAGGATGATTGTAATTAATCTCAAATATTAAAATAATTGGTAAAAATTATTTTTAAATATTCACATGCAGACATTCCCCTTTGACATCACTTCCTGTGATTTCACATGCAAATATATCAACGACTGTTCATCTGAGCATCGTGAAATTTGTTTTGTAATATGTTAATGATGTTGTCTTTCCAAAAATTCATTCACTTTTCTTATAAAAATTGATGTCACAGGCACCTTAAGGTTTGATCTACAGCAAAGTGGGGTTAAGACCCCACTGTGTGTTCTAAAACTCCAAATTTTGGCTTGTTAGAGGATTTCCTGAAATTAAATTAAGTTTAAAACTGACTGCTAAGAACGTTTCTGCTATAGTTAGATGTGGATAAAAACAATTGGTCTATTAACAATATTTGAATACTTCAACCAAAAATACTTTGATTCACGAGTTTCTGCCAGTTTTAATTTTTTTGTCGTTTGTGTTTATTATGAAATTGGTGTTAAATTTGATTTCACTTGGCATTAAAAAGTCTTAACAAGTCTTAAATTTAACTTGCTTTAAACTGTAGAAACCCTGAGAATAATTCAGAATGAATTTTCTTGTTTGTTTACTTCAGATCCTCAACCTTCGTTTGAGGGAGGCGGAGCAGCAGCGGCTCCGGGAGGCGGAGCTTGAGAAGCAGCGGCAGACGGAGGGCAGAGAGAACCTGCGAAACCTCAACAGCATCCAGGAGGAGATCCTGCAGCTCAACCAGCTGCTGGAACCGTCCACACAGACCGACTCGGACCTGCCAGCGTCCAGCCTGGACTCCTACAGGACCCGGGGGAACCAGCTGTGCTCCCAGGTGTCGGAGGTCGTGAGAAAGACCGCAGAGGTTAGTTTACCTGCTGAAGAAACACCTGAGAAGAAATGGAAAATGGATGCTTTAATTAAAGAATCTATAGATTTTAGTAGTGTCGAGGAAAAAACGGGGCAGGACCTTGAGATCTTGTCTGTGAAGGCCACAAACAGGATCTGAGACGAGGGACAGTCCTGGCAGAGTCCAACCTGGAAATAAAGATCTAAAGTAGGGATGGGCGATATACCGTTAAAGACATTCACCATGGTAATAACTTGTCATCTCGCGATAAAAACGATAAATTCCCACCGCGTGCTGCCAGGCTTTACATGCCTCCCTGCCAGGTTAAGCTTCGTTTGTTTACTCAGCGGACGTCGACACGTAGAGCATGTGCTAAAGTAGTGAAGCTAAAAGCTATCGTAATGACTCTCAGCGTGTAAAAACGCAGTCATAGTCATCTAAAAACTCTGTAGAGTTCAACAATATGTTTAAAAAGGGGCAGCTGCAACTCGCTGGACCCACAACAAAACACAGCTCCTCCGTCTCCTCTGTCCCAGCTGCAAGCTGCGCAGCTCGTCTCTCTCCACTCACACAACTAGCCCCTCCCTCCCCTGAACATTAACCCTTTAGGGAACAGATATCATAGCTTTACCTCCCAGAGCAGCAAAACTCATTATTTTCAGTGATTAGTAAAAAGTCTTTTCTCATGGTTTTATATTTTTATTATATTACTGATATTTTACAAGGATTGGAGTTCTTCTAAGGTTTTACAAAGATAATGATTAGTGCAAAGAGGATGTGATTTGAAGATTTAGCAAAGATAGTCCATTATTACTGATAAGTTTTGCTGTTTACACCATTTAAATAAATGTCAAATTTGTTCTCATATTTCAGTCTTGTTTTGATGGGTGTCAGTTTTACAACACAGGTGTCCAACTTCAACTTAATGTAGTTTAGTGGCTTCTAGTATTTTAGGGCTCTCAAGACAGAATGTAGTGATATATATATAT